ATCCAAAAATAAATCAACTAATTTTTTTATAAAAAGAATGAGTGGCTTCAAATATCTAGACATCAATTCATACCTCCTCCATGTACATTCTTTTTATGGTGGCATTAAGGTCACCTTCCCAATGCCACTTGTCCCCTCCAGTTAATTCTACTCTCTGCAGTAGTGGTGTGTTTAGGTCACCCTCATTGAACACCATCAATTTGGGGCACTGAATCACAATTAACTTTTTCAAAGATGGAAAGTTGAAGGTGAAATTCTCTGAACAAAAGCTTTCTAATCTTGGCAAGCATTCAAGTTTCAAAGATTTTAATTTAATGAAAGTGATCATGATCAAATCTTGCGTTCCATTTCCTTCATTTCCAACTATTTCAGTCAACATGTGGCACCGTGATACAGTCATTCTTTCTAATTGCACCAGACTTTGGGCTGTTGAGATGGAAACCAAGTTTACCATTGCTTCACAGCTGTTTATATTCAAAGTCACTAGATTCTTGAAAGAGGCAGGTGATGTTGTCAAGCTAATCAAACTCCCACAGCTTAAAACATCAAGAGTTCCAAGATTTTGAAGAACAATTGATGAGTCGTGGCTCCATATATGCTTGAGATATGGAAGGAGCTTTAGATTTAATGTTTTAATTCTTGAGAGTGTCTCAATTTCAATGTGTTTCTCTTGTTCTTCAACTTCTTCTTTTGAAGGGAACAACTCTTTAAAATTACAACACTTCACGATAAGCTCTTCTAGATGGCAGAATCTTTGTAGGAATTTGATGGGTAAAACATCTAATTCATTATCAAGATAGTCATGAATTTGAAGAACTTTGACATTGAAAGAGAGGTCTTCTTTAAATTGGTGTTCACATATCACTGCAATGTCATGTCTTGTCAATGACAATTCTTCCAATTGAGGGATGACCTAGAAAGCAATCCAATCCACAAAATTATGTGTAAGTTGTATGTTTTTCTTAATGAGATTTTATTTTGTTTACAAAAAGGAGAAAATTATTAAAAAAAATATCATTCATTATTTCACATGGCAACCAAATACACTTTTATTGCCTATTGAATAAAAACATCTCTTTTCATTCCTAATAAGAAAAAATAAAAATAAAAATAAAAATTGCTCTATACTACATTTTTGGGTGGCAAGCGTTAGTTGTATCACATATTCACATACCATATACTCTAAAATCTATAACAGAAAGACTCCAAAACAATAATGGCATAATAAAAGAAATTATTGGAATTATCACATGCATTTGTCACACAAATAATATTTTGTCGAGAAAACCATTCAGGTCTTACTAAACAAGTAATGACTACTACAACTCAATATTATTTCCATGTATAGTAGATTATTAGAAACTACTCTTGTTTCATTATATATATTTAAAGCAAGGAATTCTTTTATTATTTATTTTGGTAAGAAACTTGGTACCTTCTCTATGGAGAAAAGTGGCAGTTGTACAAGAAAGTCTAGTTGCCCACGACCATCTATTCTCTTTACTTGATTGAATTGGGAAAAACAGAACTGTTTTAACCTTGGCCACACTGTCGTGTACTTCCTTGGGTAGAAATATTGGAGCCTTGATAACCTTTCAAGCTTAAGACTTGATACTCTAGGAAATTCAAAGTTAACAACTTCTTCAATGCCTTGGTCTCCCATCGTGACAATTTCCTCCACCCCACACTCCATTAAATGTAGCTTTTGAAGTCGCAAAAGGCTTTTGCCTATTGAAGCTGGAAACAAAATTTTGAGTTTGTCACAAAGTTCTACCATTATTGATTCCAAGCTGTGGAAAGTGAGTATCCCTTGGGGATCCTTATTCCACACATACTTTAATCTTGGTAGATCATAGATACTCAATTCTCTCAACTTGGTGTCTATTATGGCATGTGTTTGTTTGACATTGAACTCGGCAATTCTAAATACCACTTCTAGCAAGCCACAATAAGATATAGTTAACTTCTCTAGGGATTTCCATATTCTTTCCAACAGATCAGTAGATGGAAAAACAGTGGATAACTTCTCACAATTTCTAACCGTTAATGATTTTAGTTTGCCAAAGGAGTCTGCATGGAATTGGTTGTGCCATATGATATCCAAGTTTTTCAAGTGGGTGAGAGTCAGACTTTCCAAGTTGGGAAAAGCAACCTACATAATGAATGCATCATGCCACATTTAGATTAGTTCCTTAAACTAATGCGAAGACAAAATGCAAGTGAAATGAGTAAAATTTACATGTTCATCAAAGAATGGTTGTTTGTCAGCAGTGACATTTGTGCTTGCAAAATATTTAACAATGAATCCTTCTAACTTTGGGCAGTTCAATACTTGCAGTTGCTTTAAGGATGGGAATTCAACAATACAATTCCCTGAGTAGAATCCAACAATGTTCTGAAGGTCTTTTAGCAATAGGAAATTCAATTGAGGAAAAATTAAATTCTCTTTTTCTTCTGCATTCTCTATGACAATAATCTCTCTCATCCTCTTGCATTCCCTTATTTCAACTCGACTGAGCATCACTAGACCTCTAGCTATGGAAGATGAGAATAAGTATTCCAAATTATCATAGCCTTGAATGATCAATTTCTTCAGTTTCTCTACACTTAAAGATGTTATTGAAGTGTGCCATTTGATGTTAACATTCATCCAGCATAATCGTAGCTCCTCGAGGTTTGGTAACACAACCTGCATGACATAGAATTCATTTTGTAGTAAAAGCTTATCATTTTGTTGATGGATGAGAAAAAGGATGGTCAATGATGTTGAAAATGGTAGTGTTGGAGGAATTGATCAATGTATTCCTCAACAATAGTTGGAACTATTATTGGTAGGGTCTTAGCTCCATATATTTCCACAGTGTATAATCCAGTTATATGATCAGTTAATTTTGGGGTGGTTGACAAATCTAAGAGGGAAGTTTGGTCTTTACTGTACTGTTATAACTTGGATTGCATGGATACACAAGAATGAAAGGTTATTTAATGGGGAGGACTAGTTTGTTGATATGGCTCTCAAATTGGTTGGAAGGAGATCATTTATGTGGACAAAAGGCAAGGTGGATGGTTATTTATCTAGATCAGTGTCTAAATCTTGCTCTTTGTGCTTTGGGACTGACCAGCAGAGGAGGTTAGAAGATGAACAAAAGCAAAACTTTCATCAGAAGGCCAATGCAATAGAATAAAGTAGAGGTAACTGCACTATTCTCTAGATTTTGATTGTGCATTGGGTTTGGAATATATTTATTTGTGAGAGAATGTAATGACAATCCCAAAGCAAAAACATGAGAAATGACATGCATAGACATTTGGGATAGTTTAACACAATTTCGGCAATCAACCAGTTTTCTTAAATTAGTAATTTTACTTATTTTTGAGCAAGGGAGTGGAAGAATTTCAACCCACAATCATTTAAAGTAATTGAAATATTTATAAAGGTAATTATGTGGGAGAATATAACAATATAAACATCAAAAGTACAAAGACTGTAAAAAGAAGTAAAATAAATAATTTTTAGGAAATAACTAACCTTCTCACTGAAGAAAGGTTGAGTAGGGATTTCAGGCCTTTGTTCACTTCCTTTATCATTGGCAGTCATCTCTTTCTCTTGCTCTCTTGAAAATGAAGAAGCAAATGTCAACAGATTTGGGCAGTCAGCTACAGTAATTTGTTTCAAACTTGAAAACTTGAGCCTACTGCTTCCCTCATAGAAACATGTCAAGATGGAACAAGACTCTAAAAGAATAGAGTTTAACAGAGGAAACGTCTCCTCAATTCCTTCTCCTATTATCACTTGCTCCATCATGGCACAGTTTGTGACTTTCAGAACATCCAATTTTACAAGGCCTAATGCCATGGAAGGGGTAAGAAGGTATGTCAAATTGCTACAATTACAAACTTCTAGAAATTTAAGCCTTTTGAAAGGCAAGTTTTCTTGAGGCTTCTTGTACCAAATTTCAATCAATTCAGGAAATTCAGAAAGCTTCAAATCCTCCAACCCATAACATCCAGCCTACAAGATGCAATAGATTAATTGCTGGTTAAACGATAAGAAACAAACAATAGCAATTATATTAATAATAAAAGTAAGAAAAAAAATAACTTTTTGCATTTGATAAAATTAAGATCGGACAAAGATGACGCCCAAACCAAGAATTGGACAAAAACAAAAAGTTCCTTAAAAATTTCAAATTACAATTTGTGACTATTAGTAATTAACAACATCTTCTTAGAATTTTTCTTCAAAATAATGTTACAATCCTACGACAAATAACCTATTCTAAAATTTTAATTGTGAATTTAAGTTTTTGAATACTTTCATTTTTATTTTCTTTCTGATCCAAAGAAATCAGTCTCTTC